GCAAAGCTTCCAGTATATGATTTTGGCAACTTGACCATGATGCTGTAGAAAATCAGTCTGTGAAATTTTGCTGCATCCACTGATGTTGTTGTTGTTGTTGATGATGATGATTTGCTGTCTTCAAGTCAGTGTTGACTCTGTGTGACAGCATGAATTAGTCCCTGCAGTTTTCTTGGCAAGATTTCAAAAATGGTTTGTGCTTGCCTGCTTCCTAGAGCAGTGAGAGTGTGATTGACCCAAAGTTACTCAGCTACTTTCATGCATAAGGCACGACTAGATATCCTGGTGTCTTAATCATATATCAAGCTGGCTGCCTGACAAGTGGAATATTGAGATTTATATTCTAATAATTTGGGGGGGGGAATTACATTAGGTTCCACAGGATTTAGTGCTTTCTCCCCTCCTATAGTATTCAAAATCTACATGAAACCTCTGAAGGAAAACATTGAGTCGCAATGGAGATATAGTATACTGATGATATCCAAAATAAGTTTCTGCCCCAAAGATTTAAGCAATGCTGTTTATGTCCTATCCTGGTGCCTTGAGAATGTGGGAGCCTGGGGGAAAAAACCCACAGCTGAAACCTGGCAAGACTGGGTAGCTTTGAATGTTGTGGGCCTTCCATCTTCCATCTTAGGGTATGAAATCCTTAGTGCTGGATGGGGTTGCATTGTCCAAACAGACCCAGTGCGCAACTTAGTAGTCCTCTGAGACTTGTGATTTCTGCTCAAAGAATATATGGCAATCATGAGTAGGCAGATTTTTGCAGCTTTGTATTGTATGCCAGTGCAACTGTTCCTGGACTGGGAGGCCAGTCATCCATGCTCTGCTTATTTCAGAAGTGCACTACTATATGGGCTGCCCTTGAAGAAAATTTGGAAGCTTCAGCTGGTGCAAAATGCAGCAATGTGAGCAATTATGTATATCCCTAGAATGACACACATTGCACCTTTGCTCTGCAAACTGAATAGGTCGCTACTTTGTTTCTGGGCTCAACTCAACATTTTTGATCTTTTGATCTTTAAAGCCCTTGCCATGGGGGGGGGGGGGTTTGCAAAATGCAAAAATGCCAACAACTTTCAGGACTGGACCACAAGACAGCCATTATTCCAGCAACTGAAAGCAAATGGAAGTAGAAGAGATCCAGGAGCTAACAGGATCACCAAGTGATTCAGTGGACAATCCCTTGCAGGCCTCGAGGCTAGGAAAATTGTATTATTATTTATTGTGAATTAACTCTTTATATGAAGAAGTGGGTAAATATGGCAGGCAACATTTCCTTTTGCTCCAATGAACTTAGTAAACTGTCAAATAGGTTCATATAATGATATTCTTGGGACACCCATGTATATACTAGCTTAAGCATTTAGCTTAAGAATGTATTTGATATGGATACATTTTGTTTGTGCATAATCACACACATGCATAAGCAGGTACAGTATATGCCTGCAATCTACTGCTACTTAAATTCAATCAATCTATCAGAATAGAGTTAGAGCTTGGAGGTCTTCTAATCCAGGGCTTTTCAACTGGTGGTACACATATCACCTGTGGTACATTGGCACCTGGCAGGTGGTACGTAACCATCCTAGAAAAGTGGTAGCAGGGAAGGTGAATGAGCTGAACAGGGGGCAGCACCGCACAAGCCTAAGTGAGAGACAGCTGGAGCTTCAGGGCTGTCAGGGCTCAGCAGAAGTGCCAGGACCATTGCCACTTTCCAGCTGATCGGCGCTTCTTCGGGGCTGTCAGGATTCAGCAGAAGCACCAGGATCAGTGCTGGTTTCCAGCTGATAGGCGCTTCTTCGGGGCTGTCAGGGCTCAGTGGAAGTGCCAGGATCAGCGCCGGGCCCCCAAGAAGCACCAATCAGCTGGAAAGCAGCACTGATCCCGGCGCTTCTGCTGAGCACAGAAGAAGTGCCGATCACTTGGAAAGTGGCACTGATCCCAGCGTGTCTGCTGAGCCCAGAAGAAGCGCCGATCACCTGGAAAGCGGCACTGATCGCGGTGCATCTGCTGAGCCCAGTAGAAGCGCCAATTGCCTGGAAAGTGGCACTGATCCCAGCGTGTCTGCTGAGCCCAGAAGAAATGCTGATCAGCTGGAATGTTGCAGCATCTCCAGGGTCTTGTGATTTACATTCAGATGCTTGGCAACTGATTCATATTTATGACGGTCACAGTGTCCCAGGGTCATGTGAAGTGACCAAAACCTGCTGCAACCACCCAGCAGAATAAAAACCAAACACCACTCACTCCACCCCCACTGCCAATCCTCAACAGAAATGCTCACAACAATGAAAACCTCGGACAGGAGGAAGAGCGTGGTCAGGCGGGCTGGCAGGTGTCTTGCTCAGCTGTGGCTTGGGGGGGAAGAAAGGAGGCAGCTTCACCCCCCCCCCCCAAATGCTGCCCTCTCACGAAAGCAGGATGAAAACTCCAAAAAAATGACAAGGGAAAAAGGTTAAAACAGAAGAGTGTCTTCCGATGGCTTGCTTCCCCATTTCCTTCTAGCAGTTTAAATATGTAAAGACCACAAAAGAAAAAAACTTGGCTTTCTTTCATTGTAATTGAGAAGGGAGGAACGGGAGGATTGGGGGGGGGGGTTGTTTCAAAGGAAGGGAAAGAAAGGATTTGGGTCTGTGGGGGGCGCAGCAGACGAATGGTGATGGTGCAAGGCTTCTGGTGTTGGGGAGGGGGGTCTTTTTTAAAAGAGCAAAATGAGGCAAAAAATAAAAATCCCCCACTCCACCCCTAAGAGCTGGATGTGGAAGTGATCTTTTTTTTTTCTTGTTCAGAAGAGACACTCTTCTGTTTTAACATTTTTCCTGGTTGTTTTTTTTGAGTTTTCGTCCTGCTTTTGTGAGATGGCAGCATTTGGAAGCTGCCCCCTTTCCTCCCCCCAAGCCACCAGCCGAGCAAGACGCCCACCTGCCTGCGCTCTTCCTTCTGAGGTTTTCATTGTCGTGAGCATTTCTGTTGAGAATTGGCAGTGCGGGGCTGTTTGGTTTTTATTCCCCCCCCCCGTCTGCTGGGTGGTTGCAGCAGCTTTTGGTCACTTCACATGACCCTGGGACATTGTGAATGTCATAAATATGAATCAGTTGCCAAGCATCTGAATGTAAATCACAAGACCCTGGGGATGCTGCAATAGTCATAAGTGTGAAAAATGGTCATAAGTCACTTTTTTCAGTGCCATTGTAACTTCTAACAGTCACTAAGCGAACTGTTGTAAGTTGAGGACTACCTGTATGTTACCATTTTTTTCCTTTTTTTTTTTTGGTCATCAAGTTTTTGACACCTTGCTAGGCGAAAGGTGGTACTCGGATATTGCCATATCCTAAAAGTGGTACAATGGGTGAAAAGGTTGAAAAGCCCTGTTCTAGTCCAATTCCTGCTCAAGCAGGAAATCCTATAACCTTTCAGATAGGTGGCTGTCCAGTTTTTTCTTAAAAACCTCTAATGATGAAGCACCCACAATTTCAAAAAGCGAGCTGTTCCACTGGTTAATTTTCCTGTTAGGAAGTTTCTCCTTAATTCTAGGTTGCTTCTCTCTTGATTAGTTTCTATCCATTGTTTCTTGTTTTGCCTTTGCTTTGGAAACTAAGTTGATTCCTTTGTGGCAGGCCCTCAAATACTGGCATACTGCTATCAGGTCACTCCTAGTCCTTCTTTTCTCTAGACTAAACATACCCAGTTCCTCCAACTGTTAATAATAATAATAATGATAAAGTTGGAAAGGACCTCGGAGGTCATCTAGTCCAACCTCCTGCTCAGGCTGGAAACCCTATACCATTTCGGACAAATGGCTGTCCAGTTTCTTCTTAAAAACTTCCAATGAAGTAAGCACAGCTGAGAATCATCTTAGTTGCTCTTTTTTGCACTTTTTCCCCAGTCTCAACATCTTTTTTGTTATGTGGTGACCAAAACTGGATACAGTATTCCAGGTGTAGTCTTACTAAGGATTTATAAAGTGGTACTAATACTTCACATGATTTTGCTTCTATGTGTTTATATAATCAAGGATTGTATTAGCTTTTTTGGCTGCTGCTGCTGCACACTGCTGGCTCATGTTTAAGTGATTGTCCACTAGGACACTAAGGTCCCTCTCACAATTACTGTTTTTTAAGCCAGGTCTCGCCTAGTCTGTACTTGGAGCTTTGGTTTTTCCTGCCTAAGTGTAAAACCTTGCTTCTCTCCACATTAAATTTCATGTTGTTGGATAGGGCCTATTGTTCAAGTTTGTCAAGCTCTTTTTGGATCCTGAGTTTGTCTTCTGGGGTGTTGGTTATTTGTCTTCTGGGGTATTTAGTGTTACAGTTAGTGTTGCAGGCTATATGCCTGCAAGTTACTGCTACTTAAATTCACAGTGGCAAATCAAGAATAAGTTGAAAAGGTTTAAAGGGCTCTAAGATAGAATGCTACCTCTTGAAAATTTATGGAATTAAGATCCTGCTCTAATACACAAGAACTTTCAGAGAATAAAAGCCCAGCCTACATCCTGCATGAGACTGGATCTGGTCTTAATAAAAATGAAAAAACGGTTACCCGTGAAAACAAAACAAGGCACATCACCCCAAACAGCGTGAGCCTTTGTTAGATAAAAGAATAAGTGTTTCTTTTGTCTTGAAGCCTGAGCCAAATGCCCTCCCCTCCCCTCCCCCCACCCCCGCGCATTCAGATGAGTTACTGGAGTTACTGAACGGTAATTTGCACACACATCTCCAGTACAAAAGGTTTTTTTTTAGTGACATCATCCTTAACGGCACTAGGTCAAGTCTAAAAAAGGCACACCGCTACCAAATTGCGCTAGGTAGTTCCAATTTCAAGCAGAATTGCGCTTCAAAACTACGGGGCTTTTCTCTCATACGCTGGAAGATAGCTTCCGGAAATCAAAACGGGAATCTGTCCCAGCCGGAGCCGGTGGCGTAGGAAAGGGTCCAACCAATGCGATGCGGGCAACCGAACTAGGAAGTCCCAGGCACGGACGGTGGGCGGACCGCTGGCTGATGAAATCCGGCTCAGTCTTACAGAAGAATTAGCCCGGCGGGTTGTGATTGGTTTCTGTGTTGTGCTTTCCTTTTTGTAGAGCTCGGCTGCCGAGCCTGCTAGTGATTGATCTCTTCTCGCTTGTGAAAGCAGCTTTTCCCGGTGCAAATTCCGAGCTGAAGTTGAAAGGGTAAGCCGGTGAGGGGATCTGTACGGACCCGGGACTTCTTAGTTTTCCACCCACTCTATTTATGCCCAGAACTCCCCCTATGCCATTCAGAGTTCAGCTGTTGTCCCGCTGCCTGGAAGAAACCCGCTGCAACGGTTGCCTTCCTGGTGGCCGCCGGGACACTATTCACGGACGAATCGGAAGTGACCATAATTCATTGTTTAAAAGTACCGAATGCAAACAAAAAACTCATTAGACAACTGCACCTGCAGGATTTCTGGTTGTCAGACTTCTTGTAAACAAACAAGGTCTGGTTTCATAGATTTAAAAAAATGCTACTTTCTAATTATGCCCAGTGCTGGTTCTCTCTATGTATCACTTGTGTAAGAGGAAAAGAGCAGGAGAACGTAAACTGTTTTGTTAGGGGTGGAGTTAGCACAACAGGCTAGTTTAAAACTAGCTGCTGGCTAATTTGTGGCACAGGGTGTTGTCTGAATTCACCTAGTGTGTGGGCAAATCCATGCAATTAGGTGAATTAGTTAGCCAGGAGTGTGATGGTGTTTGAATGTAGTTTCCAATGTTCTACAACTCCACAACTGTGTTTTTAACATTAACATCTCTTCCAGATACTGTCTTTCATACCCTTGCTATTTTGTCTTTAGCCAGGTTTTTTTCACAGCAGAATACAGTGTGAAAAATGGTTGTAAGTCCTTTTTTCAGTGATGTTCTAACTTTGGTCACTAAATGAACTATTACAAGTCAAGGACTACCTGTGCTTATAAAAAAGAAGTCTGCTTTACTCTCTGAGCTCACAGATTCATCCAGGCATCTGAGTTAATTTGATCTGACCATACTTGGGTTACAGGCCTTAGTGAAAGGTCAACCAGGTGTTGCCATATGCCTATTCAGCAATTTGCTCATTAATTTGTTTAATTTAATTCAGCCAGAAGGACTATTTGATTCAAGCCAATGTCTTCTAAATAATAAAGTTATTGAACAGTTGGAGAGTTATCTTAAAATGTTTTGTTACTGACAAAGTAGTTTAATAAGGCATAAGATATGTGAAATGTAATAAATTGTAAGGGCTTTTTTCCATAATACAATCTTTTATGCTTTGTTGTGCTGTTAATATTTGATTTGCTTCTTCATTATGTTTGAGGTCACATATTTGTTGGTTTTAATTTTTTATATCATATATATTTTTGTAATTGCTTACCATTTTTATTTCTAATCATCAGATTTTGATACAATTTATAAATATTTTTCTTTGCTTTATTAGGCCAATCTTGCTACAAATTGTGCAACTGATTAATTTAAATATTGCTTAAATACTTACTGAGAGGCTGAAATATTAATAGAGTGACTCAAATTTCAAATAATATTTATTTTTCTTCAAACAGAAAATGAAAACACTTTATCTGACTCAGGATCAATGGGAGAATATTATTCAGGGGCAGGCTGGATTCAACCATAGAAATAAAAGTTATTTTGGAATATTTTTATTTTCCACTGGCAACATGGCTTATTTAGGATTTTATAATTATGGATATGGTTGCTTGAAGATGTTAGATATGTATCTGGAAAAAGCTGATATAATACAAATGCTCAAGCTAAAATGCAGATTACAACACTGTTTTTCTTTGGTTTCTATGGGTCTTTCATGGGAACAGTTTTTAGCATTATATAGAAAATGTGCATCAATTGTTTACAATAAAACATGCATGAAGATTGATTAATGTTGATTGATGTGCAGATTTTCCTAGACATTCATAAATTAATGTGAAAGTAAGCAAGACACATGAAGAACTGATACATTTTAGGCCAGTGGGTTAAGTGGCTAAATACTTGAATGAGAAAATCAAATCCATGACCAAAGAAGTGATTGAATATCTTTGGGCCAGCTACTTTCTTATAGCCCAAACTATCTCACAGTCACAGATCTGTTGTTGTGAGGAGAAAGTGAAGAGTTATCTTTGCATGCTTCCTTGACCATCATATGTAGGATTTATTCATCTATTACATGGGGATCAAACTGCCGGCCCGCGGGCCGGTTTCATCATACCAAAGCCACACCCACCCCATTTCTGGCAATGCAAAAAGTGTCATGATACGTCGCGACACATCACGTGATGTGGCGAGTTTGACACCCATGATCTATTATTACTGACTCTTAGAGGTGTTCTACTCTTAAGTAATAATAATGATAATGAAGTTGGAAGGGACCTTGGAGATCATCCAGTCCAACCCCCTGCTCAGGCAGGAAACCCTATACCATTTCAGACAAACGGCTGTCCAAGTAGATAGCTGTTACTTCATTGCTATCAGATTTTATTTTATTCACGATTAAGAAGAAGGTAAGGAGTCCTGTAAAATAAAGAACCAACATGATGTTTTGTTAAGTAGCTTGACTCGATACCAAGCAAGACTGCACTTGTGTGAAAACATTGACAAACGGTCATGTAGGAAAGTTTCAACAGCAATAGGAAAGTTGCTTAATTGTAATTAGGCTGGAATAATGAGAGAGATCAAAATATATTTATGCTATATTCCATAGAAGATAATGTATAGAAATAAAACAACACAAATTTCTTCTGAAGACCAAACTAACAGAATAAAAACTTCAAAATTAGTATTGCTAATTAATATGAAATTAACACAAACTAGTTTAAACACCACAAAATATTTCAAGGATTTCCAATCTTGGCAACTTTAAGACTTGTGGACTTCCAGAATTCTTCTGTCAGCCATGCTCTCTGAGGAATTCTGAAGTTGAAGTCCACAAATCTTAAAGTTCTCAAGTTTGTTGACCCTTGAAATATAGTTTAACTATTTCAAATAAAATATTTAAATTTTGTGTGTGATGTGTTTTTATGGCAAGTTACGTGCCACATTTATTTTCATGGAATGGTGTAAAGATATGGATTTTAGAACATTAAAAAACTGTCTTGCTTGTTCATTTTCTCCCTAGTAGCCTTTATTCATCAACACCATGTGTGGCATATGGGCCCTTTTCGGAAGTGATGGATGCCTCTCTGCACAGTGTCTCTCTGCTATGAAAATAGCCCATCGAGGACCAGATGCTTTCCGGTTTGAAAATGTCAATGGCTTTACCAACTGTTGCTTTGGCTTCCATCGTCTAGCAATTGTTGATCAGCTATATGGAATGCAGCCTTTAAGGGTGAAAAAATTTCCCTACTTGTGGCTGTGTTACAATGGAGAGATCTACAACTTCAGACGGGTACAAATATGAAAAGAACTACATTCTAATGGTTTTGGTGGCATTCCCTAATATCTAGTGTCTGGGCAGACTGTTATATGTGTTTAACATATCTGTGTATTGGCTCAAGATATTTTTATAAGCTGGGTTGGGAAAACTGAACAGCAGCATATAAATTCCTTAAATTGGAAATGGGCAGTCTGTTGTCCATATCCTAATTTTAACACAAAAACCCTTCTCTTGAATCTGGCAGCTTGAGAAATTGCAAAAAGCTTGGGCCAATGGATTGGTTAACTGGGTATTCATGTCAGAAAAATGTAAACAAAGCAATTGTTTGATAAAAGACTAAAACTTGCCATAGAAAATGTGGGCAATTTAAGTATTCAATAGATCCTTGTTAGTGTCCTCTAAAATATATTGAATGATCATGTTTTGTCAAGTTACAAATAAATTTGTCATTGTTTATCATTTTCCTCTCTCTTTCAAGATTACACTTAAATACCTTAATATTTATTATATTTCTCCCCCCAATATGTTCCTAGGATGGTATTCAGTTAAAAGAACAAAGGCTATAATAAATATAAGCACAGAAATGAAAGCCTCCATTAGAGAATGAGAATCTCGAATCCTGAAACAAATAAAATCAAATATTCAGTGCTTGAAATGTCTGGAAGAAATTTTTAAAAACACCTTTGCCCCAAAGATCTATGCACACAACAAATAAAATTCTCTTGGTTGGGTATTCCAATGTAAAATACCTCATTCATAATCATATGTTTAATTGGCCTCTTATGGTCCCCAACAGGGTCATCTGCCATATGCAAGGAGGAGGGGGAATCAGGGCCTCAGTCATATGGTTACTCCTGTCTGCTCCCACTTTTTTGTACAGCTATATAAATCTGTATATTTAGGCCGTCCTATTGCAGTTAAGAGAAATAGTAGATTGGCTAAAAGTTGCAACATTTCTGATGGTCTTCAGTGCCCTATCACTAGAGGTAAATTTTTCAAGCTAATCGATAATCTATGAAAAAATGAATAGGTAGGAAGCTATGATCTGATCACTAAAGGGAAGTATGCATTTTTGTAATTTTTTTCTCTTATTAACATATAGTTATAGTCAGTGCTTTTTTTGTTAAAAAAAAAAAAGGTGCCAGAACTCACCCATGTCATACAACCTGCCTTGCCTACCCTACAAGGTTCCATCCAAAAAAGGTGCCGGAACTCCGTTCTGGGCGTTCTATGACAAAAAAAGCCCTGGTTATAGTTATATTAATATATAGTTCACATATTATTTTGTGAACAATATGCTTTTTGTATTTGTTCTTCGGTATTCTAATTATGTACCTCTTTAAAGATGTTTCTTTTCTCTTAGCTACAGAAACAATTTGGATTTGAGTACCAGACCTTAGTAGATGGAGAGGTAATCCTTCATCTTTATGACAAAGGAGGAATAGAGGAAACTGCCTCCATGCTTGATGGTGTATTTGCATTCATTTTGCTTGACAGCGCAAATAGAAAGGTGTTTCTGGGAAGAGATACATATGGAGTTAGACCATTGTTTAGGGTCCTAACTGACGATGGCTTCCTGGGTGTTTGCTCTGAAGCAAAAGGTAACTCAAATCCTGTATCTTTCTGAACTATTCTTTAATAACAGTCTTGAATATGGACTCTCAAATAGAACTAAATTGCTACCCTGTTTAATATTCAAAGTATTGTGCCTCATTTCACAAAATCTCTTTATAAGAATGAACCAGAAACTTCCTAATGGTGAGACACCTTTCCACAGAAAGTTAAAACCATGAAAGGAAAACAGGACATTGGTTTTGCAGTAAAATATATGGATTATTGTGTGATCTTGTTTAATACGAGTTTTGTTTTCGTATTAATTTTGGGGTATTGTGAAAGAAATGTTTGAAATAGAAGTCCTTGTTGAACTATAATTTCCAGGGATGAAATGCTGCCATATGGCTGGCAAACTTTAAAAAGAATTAGTAGAAAGAAATGTAGACTTTTAGGAATATAAGCATAGCAAGAATGCATGGACATGCTTAATTAAAATCAGACCTTATTTTTTAAGGCTTCTATGTAAGACAATAGAAAAGATGCCCAAACTTTAAAGAAATGATTATTTAAAGTTAATTGAGAACCAATTCGGTCTGTGGTTAAGGCACCTGGCCAGAAACTAGGAGATGGTGAGTTCTAGTCCTAACTTAGATATGAAAACCTGGGTGATTTTGAGCCAGTCAGTCTCTCTCAGCCTATAATGTCAGGCCCCGGCAACAAACCAGTTGGTTAATTCCTATTTCAAACAAAGATCAATAGTAATGATAAAAAAACAGACTTTGATTAATTAAGATTAATTAAATTCTTAAAACAGTGACATCTTTTTTCTTTGTTTTTGCTGCCCTTTCTTAAAGCTGTTATGAAGATTGCAAATTTCTATGAATCTTCTGTCTAATCTTCTAGGGTTACAATTTTCACTTGGTAAATGTGGAAGGAAGGCTGGACAAAGAATTGGAATATACACACAACTCTCCTCTGATCTATAATAGTCAGACTTTGTGAATTTCCCCTAGTCACAGGATATGGAAAGGATCACAGTCTATTTTGTCCCTTGAGGATATATTTGCACATGCACAGTGCAACTATTGTCACTTGAATTAGGCTTATAACACAAATCAATCTTCTCCTGTTCATGGTTCACATTTCACTGTTAAAATTGGTGTTCTGAAATCTATACTTTCAAAAGTTATATTGACAGACATTTTCTTTTGACCAAGTGTAAAATAACAACTGCTCAATCTATGTGATTTCTTATATTTGTAGGTCTGATTAACTTGAAACACAATATGTCCAGTGCTCTCAAAGTGGAGCCTTTTCTTCCTGGACATTATGAAGTCTTGGATTTAAAACTAAGTGGTAAAGTTGCATCAGTGGAAGTGGTCAAATTTCACAGCCCTAGAGAGGAACCTTTGCATGCTGCCTACAGTACAATACAAAATTTGCCTTCAGGTAACAGCATTGTTCAGTTTTCAAGGCAGGTTCACGTGTCAGGCAGGTTGCATTCCCTTCCAGTGAACATATGTCTCTTTGGTGCTTTCCTGACTTGGTTGTTTTGTTGCAGACATTTCATTATCCAAACTAGGTAAGATCATCAGTGCTAACTATCATATCTAGTTTGGGTAATGAAATGTTTACAGAAAAACAACCAAGCTCAGAGACCATCCCTCATTTCAACTCTGAGCTACAAATATTCTCCTTTATTGGAATATGTGTCAGCATATTTCATATTCTTGGGTCAGGAGAGACTTTTGTCATGGTCATACATGTTTGGAAGACAGCCTGTGGATTATGGTGAAAGAGGCCACAGTCAAAAGGGATGGATTCAGCCTGATCAGGAGAAGGTATTTCAGTCACTTTCTATTCCGTCCCTCCCCCCATTGTTGGTGCTTCATCACTGGAGGCTTTCAAGAAGAGACTGGACTGCCATATGTCAAAAATGGTGTAGGGACTCCTGCTTGGGCAAGGGGTTGGTCTAAATGACCTACAAGTTCCTGTCCAACTCTGTTATTCTATTCTATTCTATTCTATTCTATTCTATTCTATTCTATTCTATTCTATTCTATTCTATTCCCATTCCCATTCCCATTCCCATTCCCATTCCTATTCCTATTCATTGCTGGAGAGAGGACAGATCTTTCTTGCCAGACATCTTACCTAATACTGATTGGTGAATTCTAGAATTTGGACCAAGAAACAACTTTATTGGTTATTGCTAACTTTATTCCAAGGAGATAATATCTTGAAGTTTTGTAAGCAGTTATTTGAAAATGGATTAGTACTTTGTCCTTCCTTTTCATCTGTTTTAATGAAACTTCTCTTTTCCTGCTAGGTGTTGATGTTGAAACTGTGAAAAGCAACATTCGACTTTTGTTTGAAAATGCTGTTAGAAAACGTTTGATGTCTCATAGAAGAATTGGTTGTCTCTTATCAGGTAAAATAAGAACCACAGCCATAACAAATCCTTTAATATAACAGATAGAGAGGCAGCTTTGTGTAATGGTAAAAGGTACCCAGATTAGAAACTGAGAGACTTATGAACTCTACTCCCAACTCAGACATGGTCAGTTGAATGACTTTGTGCCAGTTGTGCATTATTCAGCCAAAGGAAGAAAGCAGTGGCACATCACTTCTAAAAATGTTGCCAGGGAAAATACATGGACTTATCAATGCTAAGTCAATGCTGACTTGATGGCACAAATTTCCTTAATGTATCTTATGCAACTGCATTGTATTTGCGATGTTTTTGTATTCTTTTAGCAACAACTCTATATTTAGGAAAAGTTTAATAGATAATGCTTTTAAGTATTTTACAGAGCTAGTTGCATAATAATAGATACACATTTTCCATAGCAATAAAGATAGCCTGTTTTCTGCCTTGATATCAATTGATAAATCAGTGAAATCTCATCTCTGGTCAGTGCTTTTTTAGATAAAGGATGCAAGATGATTCTTCCTTATACATTTATTTGGTCTATTTGAAGCCATTCAGTGCAGAAGAATTTTTTGATATGCTCTGACTAATGGAATTAGATAGAAAAAGCTCTAGCTAATTTTATAACTGTTGATTTCCAGTTCTTAAACTGCAAAATGTCTTCCGGTCATAAAATAAAGGATGATATAGCAATAGTCATTATGTGCCAGATAAATTTACAAATAATTTCAGAATCCTCTAAAAATTATTGGAAAGTTGATTCCTTTGAAAAAGGATTCCAAATAGAAAGGAAAAATATCTTGAGTTGCTTAAAATTTCTAAATGATGAGAAAAAAAGATAAGCACAATTTCAGCAACAATTCATGTTTTCCTAGGTGGCTTGGATTCTAGCTTGGTGGCTGCCATACTTATCAAGCTTATTAAAGAGCAAAACCTTTCCTATCCCTTGCAAACATTTTCTATTGGGATGGAAGATAGTCCTGACCTACTGGCTGCAAGAAAGGTACAGTGGTATTATTGGTTCAGCAGTTTTGTCATTAAAACGTTTTTTCTTACACCGTATGCAGAATGTTAGGAGGTCCAGGAGTACTTCCTAGAAATTTAGCTTTCATGCTTGCATTTAAGCAAGGTTCTAGGCCAGTGATGGCGAACCTTTTAGAGACTGAGTGCCCAAACTGCAACCCAAAACCCACTTATGCATCGTCGAGTGCCGGGTGGGTGTGGCCCATTGGCTGGGTGTGGCCCATTGGGTGGGCGTGGCCAGTTGGGTGGGCCTGGCTGCAGTGGTAACGGCAGACTGGGTGGGACTAAAAAGTTCAATCAATCAATTCCAACTGNTCTTTTTTTTTCCCACAAGAAGTTGAAATTGACTGATTGAACCTTTTTTTTTTTTTTGCACATGGCAGCGGAGGCCTAAAACGAAAAGGTTTTTATAAAACCCAGCTGAAGGCCTGGGACTGGGGCGATGGCACGCGTGCCCACAGAGAAGGCTCTGAGTGCCGCCTCTGGCACCCGTGCCATAGGTTCGCCACCACTGTTCTAGGCTGTTAAGATAGAATGGATAGATTTGAAGAAAATTTCACAGATGAAAGAATCTTTATTGCAATTCAGTAAAATTGATTATTAATAGATTCAAAGCAAGCAAAGAGAATACTTTGTCCTGCACTGTATAATTATTTTTATAGCATTTTCTGGCACAAGATAAATTGATAGCCTTGTATATTGTTACTTTTAGATTCATTTTTTGTGATCTCTCTTGGGAGCAATATTCCATTGAACACATCCTGTTGGCTAGCAACAAGGAGGGAAGATTAGCACATTCATGCCTTATTGTGACTTTCATAAAATGCCAATTGGCCAGTGGGGGAAATTGGATGCTGAATAAGATAACCCTTCAGCTTAAACCTCTGGACTCTGGATAACCCATGGTCTTGCTCCATTAGAACAGCAGCATAATGGATTGAGGAAAATAAAACATACTAATTTATAAAATATATATTCCAGAATTCAACTTTTATTGATTGCAATGCTGAATGAAAATTCAGTTTAACAAGTTTAATATAAATGTTTGTTTTTAATAGGTAGCAGCGCACATTGGAAGTGAACATCATGAGGTTATGTTTACTTCTCAAGAAGGGATTCAGTCACTGGAAGAAGTAATATTTTCCTTGGAAACATATGACATCACAACAATACGAGCATCAGTGGGTAAGGTTTGCAAATTATGAGAGTTGGTCTGCTTTCCTACTCAGTTAGCCCTGCTTTGAAACAGGATGAATACAGGCATAAATTAAATAGAATTTTAATCTTTCAATACTTTCCTGTATAGGGCAGCTTCCACGTATTTTTTCTGCCTAGTATTGTATTTACTGATAATGGGGGGGGGGGGGGGAAGCATGAAATTAAAAGAAGATGGAAAAAGGAATTTTCTGAAAAATGGAAAGAAGTACTATTTATGAAAATTGTTAGGGTTATCCTGTCTTTATGGTCATAAAAACTTCCATACCAAATCAGACAGATGCTCTTGTAAAAATTTACAATTTACTTAGTAGACTCTATTTTGGCATACGGAAGGTCCCAGGTTTTATGCCAGACATTTCCAGTTATGGTGAGTAAGAATCCTATTTAAAATGCCGAACAGCTTCTTCATTCAGAGAAAACAATATTGAGTATTATGGGCTAGTGTTTAAAGTAGCCTCTTAGGGCTCTCCACATTATTGTTATCTACATGATGAAATTACAGATTCCCTTTCCTTGTTTATGTTCTTACCTAAGTTAATACATCTCTATATTGGTTTCATTGAGTGGAATCCAAATTTAAGTCTGTGGAAAAAGTTCCAGACCTCCAGCTATCTAATAATGCTGGGTGTGTGGATGTTACTAAAATAAGGACCCAGATTGTTGGGGGGGGGGGAATATGCTGATTCTGTAAACTGCTTAGAAAGGGCTATAAAACACTGAAGCAGTATATAAGTCTAAGTGCTATTGCTATTACTAAATGTAAAAGAAAGCTAGGTTTCCTGAAAACTGGAGAAAGTTTGCAATGTTCAGTTAGAGCGCCTTCTATCTAATTTTCTTCATCAGGGTATCTTGATCATGTTATTTGTGATGATATAGAGGGGAAGAATATAATAAAAAGGACTTGATGAGAAAGTTTACCTCCACCAGCCCAATTACATGCACATAAGTTTGATGTATTATTTATGTAATTATCTATATACTACCAAAACTCTCATGTTTATCTGTTTATCTGTTTGTATTCTCAAACTATCCCAAATGGTGCATTAAACTGCAAGGATTGTTGAATAAAGTATTCTTCTGTTAAGTTAAAAGAATATATTTCTAGATAATCTTCGTTGAATGGCTATGAAAGGAAATGTGTCATGCAAGTTACTGTGAAAAATACAACTGCACATAGGTCTTGTCGTGTGAGATTAGTAAACAATTTTGAGTGAGAATTGTTTCTCATTCTAGGCATGTATCTGGTCTCCAAATACATCCGAAAGAATACAGACAGTGTAGTTATTTTCTCAGGAGAAGGATCAGATGAGTTGACCCAAGGATATATCTATTTTCATAAGGTAGTATAATCTTTCTTGCCTATGCCAAGCACCATAATAAGAGAATGCTTTTAAAAATAATTTTTATAGATGCTAATATTTATAAATATGGCTGAACTTTATTTGCAGACAGGAAGAATTGAGCAACAAACTATTCTATGCTTTTCCACCCAAAGTTAAGAACTGAAAAGGACATGAAAACCACTATCTGATTTAAGATTCAGTCACAGATGCCGAAGTGGCTATACATACATTTGCCCCCTCCCCAATCCCCAGCAGTGGATTATGGGCTGAGGGTATCAGTTGTAGAGCAGGGAGGCATCCCAGGTGGTTGGGAAGATCTTCCCTGATGTCCCTGACATAGTTGTATAGATTGGGATCAAGAAGAGGGAGTGTTGATCAAATCAGTCATGGTAATCTGAGGAAATCTAATTGCTGCTGTGGCAAAAGGTCAAACATGGCAGGAATAAGCATACCAATGGAAAATTTATTTACCCTATATACCTGATGTTATTGTTTTTAAAATTATTATTGTCATCATTATTTTAATGAATATAAATTAACATGTTGAAATGTCAGAGTGCTGAATTTCTGTGATCCTCTTTGAAACATACTTGAGACAGTTTTTACAAGTGTAATAATGCCCCTAGTTTCTATACACTTCAAATGGTAGGAGAAAAGGGACATTTTAAATAAGATATGGGTCCATATTGGATGTATTTCTAGGTTAATGCACTTCTGCTTGTATAGAGTGAGATACTCTGTATAATTACTGTTTTAGAATATCTACCGCCCGCCTTTCTGGATTTTTGAAGGTGTAGGGAGGGTTAACACGTGAATGTACTTATTTAGTCTTGTGTGAGTAGAAGTATTTTCTGCTAATGCATAAGTCCATAATTTTTCTAGATCCAAGTATTACTTCAGCACTGAAAGTTTGTGGCATGGCAACCCTATTGCTCTTGAACCAAAATAATTATTTTCAGTGCTGTTTATGAACTGCACACAGCTATGCATAGCAGCAGCCAAATCTGCCTTTGCATGAAAATAATCTCCATACTCTCTTGTAGGCACCAACAGCTGAAGAAGCTGCTGAAGAAAGTGAGAGACTTCTCAGAGAGCTCTATCTGTTTGATGTTCTCCGTGCTGATAGGACAACTGCTGCCCATGGGTAATGCTCCACTGCAGATCCTCTAATCCCCTATGGATCTCTCTTTGTAAATCTTATATCTGGCTTCTACATTTGCACCAAAACCCTCTTAGGAACTTTCTGTAGTGAAGAAGGTTTTTTGATGAAGAGCATGTTTCACCCCTGCAGTTTCCTCTCCATTCTTCAGGCTTACTGTTGAGAACGTCTTCCATATTTTGTTATATAGCTTTCATTTCATTATTTTTTTTCTTTTTTCTACACATTTATATTTTTAAACAAGAGGACAGACACAATTGAGAGAATCTGTGGTATTAAATCTTCGGGCTTCAAGCCTTTGCAATCATATTCAAGGTTTATGGTCACCAGTCACTGTTTTGCTCTTATCGTGGCAGCAAGTTATGCCCTTAGATGCCCATTTTGTTTTATCCAGGTAGAGATCTAAGGTTGATTCTTGCATCCATTGCCAGAAATGTATGAAACAAAACTATCTCAATTGATTTTCTCTTCAGTTCATCGGGTTTTAATGGCAATAGATTCCTTCAAGAAACCTTAGTTCTCTCTTAATTTGTCAGTACTACCAGACCTTGTCAATACTGATGAAACCTCAATCATTTGTACCAGTCTAGTCTCTCCTATATTCATTTCCCCAGAGTTAGAAAACAAGGAGAATAAATCCTCTCTCAAAGGGAACTTCCCAGAAGATTATGCTGATATTAATTCTGAAACCTTTAGGAATATTCATTAATACTGGTGCCTTGGCCATCTTTGTAACTTAATTAACAAATGCTTGCCAGTTAACCTTGTCTCTATTGCTTTTAGTATTAATCATTCTAAACCATTCTGGAACAGCTTCATAGATGAAGTATAAGAGCCTTCATCTCTTTAGTATCAGTAGCAATTCTCTCTCTCACTGATTGCTCTCCAGTGGATACAATTTTGTTATAGAACCATTCCTCATAAGTTTTGCATAATCAGCCCTGATGTGATGTCACTGATTGAATCTATTCCTCCCAAATATTTGACTAATGAAATCATGATAACATCGTGTATCCTTGTAACACTACAGTAGCTCAATCAGGCTTGGTCTCCAGCTTTGGTTGATTGTGTCACAAGAGACATAATTCATTTATTTAGAACAAATATCTTTATTTAATTTAGGCTTCTCCCAAAATGAGATTTTCAGTTTCAGGATAGTTAATGTCACTTTTCCAGCCTGACCATTTTTGAAGGAGTTCATAAAGGAACAGGAATCATTTCCACTATACTAAGAACTGATACATGTTGTAAACTTTATTCCCCATTTGAAGTCTGATCATCTATTTTTCCAGTTGTTATTATACACTATGGGTCAGCCTTTTTTGTTTATATAAATTTATTTGTGGTTGCTTATCTTTGACTAAAATTCATGACATGGTCATACCCATGTATATATATTGTCCATCCTCATATACAATTGTACTTGGTAGTCAACTGCTTTGAAACTCATCAAATTTGGTACTCAATGCATTGACGTGAAAATTTTATCCTGATACTCATCGTTTGTTTGGTATTCAATGCATTAGCTAGAATGTGTTGGTGTCAGCTGCTTTGTGATTAACTACATTATTCTTTATGGGAAAAATTTGTTTGGTACTCATCGTATTTGGCATTCATTGTGCCTCCTGGAATCAATTAATGATGAGTATCAAAATACCACTGTATCTGCTTTGGTAGGAGTTCCTGGACTGTTGCATCAGTCCAAGGAGAATTGAAGTGAGAAAGGAAACGGTGCATAAATGCATATCCAGTTGAGACATGTTGTCTTTAGCTATAGAATGTTCCCATTGAGAATACAGTACAGTGCCATATTTATATATTTTAAAGAACAGATGACCACTAGAATTTGTAATAATGAGAGAGGAAAAAAATAGTTAGCACTAGTTGAGTTAATCCTCAAAAGGAGTAATGTATTAAAGTTCAGTTGAAATTATTTAACACCGAATAAATAATTCTCAAGTTTGAAACATTCTGGAAGTATTATGCAAAAAAAACAAGTTACTGCTTTGAGAGTTGAAAAACCTTCCTGATTGGAAATTAGATATATCTCTGCCTGTGCAGCTATGCTAACTGAAGGTGAGGAGAGTTGTAGTATATTGAAAGAACACTGATTTGGAAGAAGGCTAATAGAGAGTTTATATAATCAAGGTTACATTTGAACAATGGCCTTTTCTCATATTTATTTCATTTATTATTTACATTTTTATGCCACCAGATTCCCAATGACTCTGGGCAGCTCACAAATAAAAACCTCAAAGCAATAAAAGAATAAAAACAAAATTTGGCAATAACTAGATAACAAGAAGCAAACTGCACCACTCAGAAGGGGACTTCAGTCACTTTTGCCAAAGACCTGGGAAAAGGGCCACAGCGCAGGTCTTCAATGCCCTCTGAAAGACCAATAGGGTGGAGGCCTGGGTTTCCGTGGAACCTGATTCTAGAGGGCAAGGAGGCCCAGGTGGCCTCCATCCTACTGGTCTTTCAGAGGGCATTGCCTCAGAGAAGGACCACTTCCGGTGCCCCAGTAGTTGGCATTGTTAAATCAAAGGAACCTGGAACGTGTCATTATCATATAAGCTATAATGCCTTTGTGTTATTTTTGGTGAAGTGTGGCTTATTCCTAATTATAACTTAATGTTGCAAGGCAAAATAGACAGTGGGTGGTTTTAAATAAATCGTGATTTAATCATGGCTTACTTTCTGTTAATGTATAAATTGTACAATGTGCATTTTTCAAATCTATATGCTTATTTTGCACACTAATAATATTTGTTTCTGTTTTCAGTCTTGAACTAAGAGTTCCATTTTTGGATCACCAGTTTACTGCTTACTACCTTTCTTTGCCAGTAGAACTCAGAATCCCAAAGGTAAACTAGCCATTATTACTAGACCAATGAGGAAATTACTGTATAACCATATGATCTACATTTACATCTACATTTAAGTTTCACTGATTATTTTCTGAAGCTATTTCACTTGTGTATGCTTGTGATTTTTAGCCTTAGGTTGTGATTACTAGTTGTCTTGCTATAAATGCAATTTCTTTAAATGGGTCTCAATTCAACTGACAGATTTAGCATTCAAATCTAAATTCTATGACAAGAAACCATGCCAAAGACTTTGAAATTAATGGGATAGATTATTCTTAAAAATGTGCTGAATCTAGGATTGTCATGTTGATCTATTTCTGAAATGTTTTTTTTATAATTACTGCAGCATTTATTCCTAAGGAATGTATTTTTAATTGATCCTTGATTATGTTATCTCTGCACAGAATGGGATTGAAAAGCACCTCTTAAGGGAAGCCTTTGAAGATTCTAACTTATTGCCTAAAGAAATACTTTGGAGACCAAAGGAAGCTTTCAGTGATGGCTTAACTTCTATCAAAAAATCTTGGTTCTCTATGCTACAAGATTATATTGATCTTCAGGTAACAGGTCAAATTTTTAAAGCTAGTCTGACTAAAATGCTATTTAATTCATTTAATAGAGCTAGTGTGAGTATATTGAAAGTAGATCATGAAAAACGTAGGGCAAAAGTGGGCAATTTGTGAATGACATGAAGCTCATCAGCTTTGCATATGGAGCCTCCCCGAGTGGATGAGGATGATCTTTAGTTTTTCTGTTGTTTTGGCTGAAGGAGTTGGGTAGCTTGAAGGCCAAAACTGGACATTACACCTCTATTTAAGCACTTATGATGAAGTCCTCATATGTTATTCTTTTACATCTTCCCATAGGTTGATGATCTTTTGTTGGAGAAAGCTGAAGAAAAATTTCCATTCAATCCTCCTAAAACAAAAGAAGGATATTTTTACCGTCAGATCTTTGAGAAGCACTTCCCAGGGCATTCCATTTGGCTCCCCCACTATTGGATGCCAAGGTGGATCAAGGCCACTGATCCATCTGCTCGCACCCTGAAGCATTACAAATCAGCTACAAAATAATAGCTTTAATATGTATTGGAGAAATAATTTCTGAAAAGAGCTTATTAAACAAGATGAATCTTGTTGGCCTAAGGGAACTTAAAAAACAATGTTTTTTTATTAAACGAATGCCATAGTTTATTTAGATAAATTGATGATTCCAACCAAGCCAGTAACAAGAATTTTTCTTAGCCTTAAACTACACTATGCAACAACTGATATACTCCAAAATCAAGCTTGGTAAAATGAAAGCTAGGATTGTAAGTCTTTATTTAGAAAGTTTAATTCACACTGAAGTCAAATGACACTTAACCAGCCTAAGTATACAGAAAAATAATGGTAGTTTAAGTGCACTTTTTCTGCAATTAATGAGCTGGAGTTTTTTTTTAATAGTATGTTTATAGTCTTATAAATAAAATAAAAGCTTGTCTGAGTTCAAATGGTAAATGCTAGTTTAAGTTATTTTACTATGGGAAAAGATAATAAACTAACTCTAGTTTTTGTAAATTTAAGCTGCTCATAATGGATTCGCAGTTATTTGCAGCTGTGTATATCCGGGAACTCTGGACTCTTTCAGAGCCTTAGAGTGATTGCCATTTTCAACCTGCATGATCCGGTGATCAGACCTCCACAACTCACCATTTATAGCTTTTTAACCACATTATAAATTATGATGCATTCACTTATCCATCACTGTTTAAAGCTGTGCAAAAGAATTTTCATATATCTTTTCTAACTGGATCCCAATATAACATTGTGCACTCAACAGAATCCCTTTTACACAACTAATGCAATTCTACAGTTGCAATTAAGCATTAAATCTTCCTTTTCAGTAAAGCCTGTAAAATTAATTTTCCAAAAGGAGAGGGCTGTTACAAGCAAATTCATATAGAAAATATATTTTCTAATTCTAACTCTGCAGGAGATTATTTAATAAGGTAAAATAGTCTTAATATATAACATCATGTGGCAGAAAAATGTTCATATTCTAAAAAGTTAATACTTGAATAAATGACTGGGTTTTTTGATATAAAACTCTCGTCACTTTTTTTCTGTTTAAAATAAATTTTGAAACCACTAGATGGTGCCATAGAACTTCCTGATATATTTTAAGAGTAGAATTTATACTGGGTAATTTTTAAGATGTGTGGACTTCAACTCATAGAATTCCTCAGCCACATGCAGGAAGGGGCTTCTTAATGGAATGGAATGGAGGGGAATGGAATGGAATAGAGCTGGAAGGAACCTTGGAGGTCTTTGAGTCCAGCTCATGCAGGAGCACCTACACCATTTGAAACAAGTGACTTTCTAGCCCAGGGGTGTCAAACTGCCAGCCCGCAGGCCGGATGCGTCATCCAGAAGCCACGCCCACCCCATTGCTGGCAATGGCAAAACTATCCCGATACATCTCGCGACATCACGTCATGCGAGTTTGACATGTCTGGTCTAGCCTCTTCTTAAAAACCTCCAGTGATGGAGTGCCCACGATTTCTGAAGGCAAGCTGTTCCACTGGTTAATTGTCCTCACTGTTAGGAAGTTTCTTCTTAATTCCAGGTTGCTTGTCTCTTTGGTCAGTTTCCAACAATTGTTTCTTGTCCTGCCCTCTGGTGCTTTGGACACTCTCTTCTTGTGGCAGCCCCTCAAATACTGAAATACTGCTATCATACCACGCCTGTTTCTTCTTTTCTTTAGACTAGCCAAATTCAAGTCCTGCAGTGATTCTTCTTCAAGTTTTAGTCTCCAGGCCTTTGATCATTTTAGTTGCTCCTCTCTGAACTTTTACAAAGTCGCAACATCTTTTTTGTAGTATGGTGACCAAAATTGGTTGCAGTATTCCAGGTGTGGTCTTACTAGGGTTTTATAAAGTGGTACTAATACTTTGCGTGATCTTGATTCTTGCCTCTGTTTATACAACCCAGGATTGTATTAGATTTTTGGCTGCTGCTGCACATTGCTGGCTCATATTCAAATGATCATCCACTTGGAATCCAAGGTCCCTCTCACAGTTACTGTTTTTGAGCCAAGTCTAGCCTAATCTTTACTTAAACTTTTGTTTTTTCCTGCCTAAATGTAATACTTTGCTTTTCTCCACATTAAAATTCATTTTGTCGGGTAGGGCCCATTATTCAAGCTTGTCAAGATCTTTTTGGATCATGAGCTTGTCTTCTGGGGTATTGGCAATTCCTGCCAATTTAGTGTCATCTGCAAATTTGATGAGTTCCCCATCCATTCCCTCATCTAAGTCATTTATGAGGATACTGAAGAATACTGGGCCTAAGACGGAGCCTTGTGGTACCCCCCTGCTTACTTCTCTTCATGTGGATGTAGTACCATTGAGGACTACTCATTGAGTATGGTTTGTCAGACAGCTACAAATCCATCTGGTGGTGATATCTATCCCACCTTTTTCTAGTTTACTAAGCAGGAGGTTGTGGTCTACTTTGTCAAATGCCTTACTGAAATCTAAGTATACTATGTCCATAGCATTTTGCTAGTCTACTAATTTAGTTACTTTATCAAATAATGAAATAAGATTGGTTTGGCATGACCTGTTTTTAACAAACCCATGCTGGCTACTAGTTATAACTTTGTTCTAGTTGTTCGCAGATCTGTTTTTTGATTATCTTTTCTAGGATCTTTCCAGGTATTGATGTTATACTGATTGGTCTGTGGTTTCCTGGGTATGTTTTTTCCCCCTTCTTGAACATTGGAACCACATCCGCCCTTTTCCAATCCTCAGGTACTTCCCTGGTGTTCCAGGATTTTTGAAAGATATAGTGCAATGATTCTGAGATAACATCTGCCAGCTCCTGCAGAACTCTGGGATATAATCTATCAGGTCCAGGTGATTTATATTCGTCAAGGTCAGATAGATGTTCTTTGACCATTTTCTTGCTTATTTTAATTTTCGTTTCTAGTTTGTCTTTTGCAGTAGGTTTTTTGGTATGTTGTGCTATAATTTCTTTTTGTATGAAGACTGATGCAAAGAATGAGTTAAGCAGCTCTGCTTTCTCCCTACTGCCTATTACTTCCTTGCCATCTTCTCTCTTTAGTGGACCTACAGTTTCCTTGACTTTTTTCTTGTTATTTATATGTTGAAAGAAACTTTTTTTTTATTGTTCTTGATTTCTGTTGCAAGTCTTTGTTCATTCTAAGCCTTTGCTTTCCAACTTCATATTTGCATGTTCTGGCTGTCTGCTGATAATCAGCCATAGTTAAGGGTCCCTCTTTCCATTTTTTGTACTTGTCCTTTTTGTCTTTCAGTTTGTCAGAACTTTGTGCAGCCATGCTTGTTTCTTATTATGCTGGGCTGGGCTTTTATGATCATATTTTTCAGAGTTTCCTATGCTTCTTGAGTTGTTTTCCCCTTTAGGATTCTCATCCATGGAATCTTTCCTAGGTTCTCTCTGGGTTTGTTAAAATCAGCTCTTTTGAAGTTTAAGACACTGGTTGAATTATTTTCTATTGCTTGTGTTTGCATATTAAATTCAGGTATGATGTGGTCACTTTCACCCAAGGTTCCAGCAACTTCAACTCCCTCTATCATTTCTTCTCTATTAGTAAGAGTTAGGTCCAGTATCGCTTTACTTCTAGTTCCCTCCTCCACCTATTGGATGACAAAGTTGTTGGCTAGGTTGGTTAGGAATCTGTTTGATCTCCCACTTGCTGCAGGGTTTGTCTCTCAGTTGATATCTGGATAGTTGAAGTCTCTCATTACTACTGTGGTATGCTTCCTACTGTGTTTTCCCGAAAGTAAGGCCTACCCCAAAAATAAGCCCTAGCTTGATTTTTTGGGGTGGGCCTAATATAAGTACTCTCCCCAAAATAAGCCCTAGCTTGAGTTTGGGGCAAGGCATACACCTAAAAATCAAGCCAGGGTGGGGGTAGGTGTGTGGATCTGCCCCACATGCCCCACACCACTTATCTTGCAGCCAGGCTTCTCCTTGCTGGCCCACTTCTTTTGCGATGTCTTCTGCAGCCAGGCCTGCATTTCTCAGTCATAGGCCTTTCCGAAAGGCCTCTGTAACCAAGGACCGAGCTATGGATTTAATCCATAGCTCGGTTCTTCAAGACCTCTGTAGCTGAGGACCGAGCTATGGACCGAGCTATGGATTGAATCCATAGCTCAGTACTCGGCTGCATCTATTTCTTCTGATTGGCCTGTAATATACACCTATGGCAATATCACTTTGTTTTCCTTTTATATTGACCCATATACATTCTGGAGGGATTTTATCTTTGATCATGTGCATTCTTCTTTTTGTAGATCTGTTTTGTTTGAACAATTTGTATCCATCCATCAGTATGTTCCAATCATAGGTTTCTGTAATGCCAACTATGTCATGCCCTCCCTCCTATACTATTGCTTCTAGTTCATTCTGTTTGTTCCCCAAGCTTTGAGCATTTGAGCATTTAAGACTTTTATGCCAGCCCGTGGGTATGTTTCCTGCATCTCCTAATTATTTTTTGAGTTTTTCTTTTTTCTCACTACTGCCTACCTCATTGTTTGATTTGTTTTCTTGGGATTTATGATTGGTTTTGGGTTCTAAAGATTCTAAAGATTGGTCACCCTTCCCCCTCAATTTTAGTTTAAAGCCCTCCTGATGGGTTGGGCCAGTCTTTTTCCGAGTGCATTTTTGCCTGTTTTTGTGAGGTGCAGCCAATCCCTTGCCAAGAATCCTTCGCATAGGAAATGCAGTTCATGATCCAGGAAACCAATATTTTCTTTGCGACACCAACCCTTTAGCCAATGTTTATTTCTAAAATTTTTTTTTTACCTGGCTGCCCCCTCAAGCCTGGCTGCTTAGATTGGAGTATGGGTCTAGGCCAGGGGTAGGCAACCTTGGCTCTTTTATGACTCGTGGACTTCAACTCCCAGAATTCCTGAGTCAGCATGGCTGGCTCAGGAATTCTGGGAGTTGAAGTCCACAAGTCATAAAAGACCCAAGGTTGCTTACCCCTGGTCTAAGCTATTCCTGAATATACTGTGACCCACCGGTTTGCTGCCTCCAACAGCCTCCCTTCTTGTCTGCTGTTCAGCCATCAATTCACTGCTCTCAGTTGCCTCTTTTTCAGCTTTGGGCTGTTTAGTTGGGCTCCTGAGCTGGATCTCTCGTTCTCTGTTCCCAGATGCCTCTGACTCCGCGTGCAGCCATACATTCACTGTGCTGCTGTTTTACTGGTGTTTTTCTCCTTACCCCAATTTCTTCTTTTCCTTTATCCTTTCTATCTACCTTATGTAACTTTCTGCTTTTTTCCTCCCTTTCCCCCCCTCTCCTTGTATCTTCCTACTTAGTTTAGTAACTAAACTACTCTCCCCATGATCTGATACTGCTTCTTATGCTGCCACCATCTTGGATCATCTTAAAGTTGCTGAGGTTGAAAAATACTAATCTATTGGATTAATTAATTGATTGATTTGCAAAAACTATAAATTACTTTATAG